ATAGATAGATAGATAGATAGATAGATAGATAGATAGATAGATAGATAGATAGATAGATAGATAGATAGATAGATAGATAGATAGATAGATAGATAACCTTGTAAATTGTGTGTGATTGTTTTACTGAGAAATGTATTTATATGCAATGCACTCATACAGTTTAACAGAAATACTGGAAATCTTTTCTGACACATAGCTGATTGTTTCATGGAACAATAAAATGAAAAAATGAAAAAAATTCTTGTATGTAATAATATGTAATATATGTTTTTATGGTTGTTGTGAAATAAATCTGTATAAAACAATTTTAGGTTCAAAAATATTGGAAATATCATTTTGATTTCACAGTCACACATCTATATATGTTAAGAAGCAATTGTTTTTTGTACTCAAGCTACTAAATAACAATATTTCCGTCATGGAACTTGTACTTTTGTTAATTTCACTGTAGATCATGTTCTTAAATATATAAACACTTTGAAATCTTACAAGATTATATATTAATTAAAAGGCTAATGAAATTCAGTGATATTTTTAATTTTATTTTAAACATTTTAACATCAAAATGTACTGCAGTTTAATAACAGTAAATTTCATTCAATTAAACTCAATTGTGTAGCGGGCTTCATTTTCTGCTCAGCTATTTGGTTAATGTTGTCATACAAATCTGACCACATGAGCGCAGGACTCCATATAAAATTATTTTCTTTATGCATATTTTAAAGAAATACTTGATACAGATAACATTTACATTTTTCATCAAATTGAATTGAATTGCAGGTGACCCATAGGGGCATAAAAATACCTGTACACAAAACACGAGAAGAACACACATGATATTAGGATATATATTTTTTTAAAAATAATCAGTTTTATGATGAATACTATGTTGAAACCGCAGCTTATGCCTGGCCACTTGTCATTGTTATTCACAGTGTAGTGTGTGCAAATGATCTCACCAATGTCCTGTTTGGTCAAAGGTTAGGTCATGCAAAACAGGATGTTTATGCAACAGGATGTATCATTTAGGCATAACCCAAAGATACATCCTCGAATTATTAATACA